ATTACAAAGCTCGGATAAGAAGTAATTCTTTGGCACTGACCTGATTGGGTGGGTTATTTAGTTTTAGTTTGTAATTAAGCACAAAGCCACACAATTGGCTATCTGTGCTCTGCCCACCACAGGTATCGAAACCCGTATTCTAGCGTTGTAGGTCCGCAGACATACCACTGTGCCACTGGGGGGGGGGGTTATGATGTGGGTTGTGTTTCCTATTTGGATCTACTATGTTTTATATTGGAATTTGAAACTACTTAGTTTGAGTAATAAAAGAAAAACTGGAAAACCTGAGCGCTTTCGCGAAATATATTTTCTTTCTTTTCTGAAATTCCAAACGTGAAAAAGAAAGGCTTACCTTCCGAAAATTCTCAGCTTATCGTGTACTTATTTTGTGATCTATCTATTTTTTTCATCCTACTTCATGTCTTGGTATCATGGATTATCTAGTACTCATTGTGTCAGATGGCTGGCGTTGACGCATAATAAAATATTTCAAAACATACATTGAAAAACTATGATCAAAACATTTACGATAAACAGTACTTTTATTTATTATTATTGTTTATTCAACAGACATCAAACATGATGAGATTATAGTAAGTTTTGTATACATTAGGTTGTACAATACTACACATTTTAGTTTTTCAGATAGCATACTTTTTGTTTTTTTAACTGGTTTTTGAGGTGCACAGAAAATTGATAAAAAATAGATTAACTGTTTCATCCACCAAAGTACGTGTTTGGAAATTCTAATAAAATTAATTCTTAAAAAAAATAAAAACAAAACTTGCTTTGAATTATGAGTACAACAAATGATAAATTACAAAGAGTATGAGAAGAGAAACCTCTGGATTTATATATAAAAGAGCAAAATATATTGTTCTGCTGCATTCTACATCAGAGTGCATCGTAAGTACAGAAGAAAACTGTGCTTATTTTCGAGGATGCTTGCTGGATTATATTATTTAGTATCTATGATGTTCTAAACACAGTGTGCTTCCGTATATTCCTTCCAGTTGAAAACAGAAAATGTCCCTTTTCATTTCAAACACTATTTTCATACGTAGTGTATTCAATGTTCTTGTAAAGTATATTACCTATTACTTTCAGCACTTTTCTTAGCTTATGAATACATAGTGATACTCCTCAATACATTTCATCTCTAATCTTCTTCAGAAATAAATGTCAGATTAATATGCGCTATCTACCGATTCATAATAAAATTAATATATAGATACAAATATTTTTAACTTAACATCTTTGACTGAATTTAATATCAAAAACATTTAACCTGAGAAACGTTTAATTAATAAAACAAAATCTTTATTTTGACTTTTTCGTTTGAATTTTATACAGAGTACTCATACTGATAATATCCAATTAATGAATTTCGAAAGAAAATATCATTGGCAAGGAATTAGTATTAAACCTTTTATTTGGTCTTTAAACTGTCTTGACATAATTATCATGTAAAACGCATTTACTGAATAATCCATAACTTTCTGACAAGGTCTCTTGAATGGGATGGAATCAGTTGACTTCCACACATATATGCTATCAGATGATTATTAACACATGACACCAATTTGATTCAAGAGTATTTAACGAAACTCCTTTAAAATTGATAACTATTTTATCAAAATCAATTTCGTCAAAGAATAAACGTTTTTTAAGTTCCCAGACTAACTGCTGATAAACTTTTTTAACATCGAATTTCCAACACTGTAAACTTTTAGTCGTACAAACAATATACTTTTTTATAGCTAACTTTCGGCACTTTTAGGGCTCAATTTCATCAATGATCAAGCTCACTAGAAATATTTCTAAGCTTTCCCACTTACAACTAGAAGACATTAATAATAAGAAAATCCTAACATCAGATAAATAAACAAATTACGACCTTCGTAGCATCCGTGATGGGAAACATAAATATAAACTAATTCAAATCATTTATTAGAAATATTGGTTATTGGTGTTTTTTGTTGTTATTGTTTTTAACTTGAAGATAACTTTATATATTAAAAAGTGAGCATAAACATAAAGGGTTATCAATGATTTCCACCTTTGATATCTGTAATCTCTATATTTTGTTACAGCTTCATTATAACAGCCAAAGCCCCCCCCCCCCCCCACGTGGCACAGCGGTATGGCTGCGGACTTACAACGCTAGAAACCGGGTTTCGATAGCCATGGTGGGTAGAGCATAGATAGCCCTTTGTGTAGCTTTGTGTTTAACTTCAAACAAACAAAGTAATAGCCCAAAAATCTTTATAGAAAAACTAAAGATATTTAAGACACTAGAGCTCTTTACACTTTCACTATAGTGCATGAAAAACATGAATTAATTAAGATAGAAAATCAAGGTATTTCTGTAACCACTTATCAGCTAAAAATGTGTTAAATGCTCCTCGTTCCACGATTATTTTACCCAACTGTTATTTTATCATTTTTCAAATTAGCAGTACGAAAAAGTAAACGGAAGCTTGCTTTAGTGTTTCACCTTCTCTTTCATTCAGTTAATCTATGTGATTCCTAAGATTATTGACCATTCTCTATTTGTGTTTGTTTTCGTGATCTAATTCTGGAGCTCTAAAGTGTATAGTATTCATAAGATAAGTAGATTAACCTTTATATGGATCGAAATATTATTCAACTGTAACCCTTTGACTGAGATTAAAAGTATACGTGTTATCCATACCAGGAATGTACAGTGAATTCAGTCTTGTGTTATTGTCACATATTATCAGGTTTCCTTTTTATTCTTGACGATGATTTTCAGAATGTCTTGTAAAGTATAAAATATGCATCATATTAAACTAATGCAATATGTCTGATATACGTAATCTATATGTACCGCTAGAGTCCATGAAGTTGTATGTACTCAGCGCCGCCCACAGAAATCTTTTGTCTTTTGTTTGCCCACCCACCTCCCACAGAAACTGCAGTTCTAGTTTTTAATTGGAACGTCTTTCTCCGTGCCCCCCACACTGTAAATTAGTAATACCATTGTATAGCTTGTGCCTGGAAGGCACCTCTTTTATTGTGTAAAAACAAGGAGTTTAAGAAAATTCTAAAGAAAGAAAACAAGGAGTTTTTCTTTACGTGCTAGGTATATATCATAAGCGTTATTTTCAAAGATGGCATTATACATGCCCAATATCAGTATATTATGACATTATTTCATATATGTCTACACGACAATCATTATAGCTATCATGGTAAAGTAAAAACAGTTTAAATATCCTGCATATAATTACCTATAATATTAATACACTATATTGACATATGAATTCGCACGGCAACACACCATTCACATGTTGTTTCAGTAAAAGTTTACGTATAGTAGACATAGCAGGTTTGATAACTTTAATGGACTGCAACATCCTGTTGAATGAAGAGGAGGCGACGTTTGGCTTTTATACTGAAGAAGGCCTCAGTATAGAAACCGAAACGTAGAACTCTTTTCATTCAACAGGCAGTTGCAGTCCATTAAAGTTCTCAAACCTACATCATTCACATCTAGTTAACTGGGCAGAAAAGCATTAGGAAAGTAATAAGATGAGTTTTTGTTCTATGATAAGCACGCATAGTGTTACACACCTGTAACAATTTTAAAACGACATAGTTCATTAGTTAAACTTATACTATGCACGTAGTCCTATACACCAAATGGTCACAAGTAAATAGACACCTAATTTTTCGTCATTTAACTGA